ACAGCTGAAGAAAAAAAAACTACATCAAGATATAGCATATGCTGGAGATTTAGCTCAGTGGTACAATGCTTGCCTATCAAGTACAAGTTCCTGGGTGTGTACTCAGAGAGAGAGAGAGAGAGAGAGAGAGAGAGAGAGAGAGAGAGAGAGAGAGATCTTAGCCAAATTAGTCCTCAAAATAGTGAAAAAGACAAAATATTGACAGCTGAAGAAAAAAAGACACGTTCATACAGAGGAACAAAGACAAGGATGATAACAGGTATAGTTTTGGAAACAAGGCAAGTGAGAAAATAGTGCAGTAACATCTTTGAATTGTGGGAAAAAATGTGAATTGAGAATTCTATAGTGCATGAAGAGTATCACTTTTAAAAATGAAGACAAAATTTTTTTCCTAAGATACAAAACTGAAAGACTTCATTACCAGGAGACATGCATGTCAAGAAATGTTGTATATAGTTCTTCATCAAGAAGAAAAATAAACCAGGTATAATTCCAGCACTTGGGAGGCTGAGGCTAGAGGCCTTCCGTGAATTTGAGGCCAGCCTGGGCTACATAATAAGTTCCAAATCAGCCTGAACTACATACCAAGAACCTGTCTGTCTGTCTGTCTTTCTAGTCTGTCTGTCTGTCTCTCTCTCTCTCTCTGTCACACACAAACACACACACACACACACACACACACACACACACACACACACACACACAAGTTCTTTTTTCTGGTACCAGGTATTGAACTCATTGACCACGTGCTTGCAAGGCAGGTGCTTATGCTGCTGAGCTAAATCTCTACCGCCCCCCAATTCTTATTACAATGATACCACAGCTCACAAACTTTATTCTTTCCATGATTCTAGTCACAAACCAAATTTGTTGTGAATCAAATCAAATTTAATGGTTAGGTACCATTCTTTAAAAGAAAGAGATATAAGTAACAAAAATTACAAGATAACATAAATGTTACCTTGTAATGAATATAACACATGTAAAGATAAAATGTGTTCTGGGCACAGTGGCACATGCCTGTAATCCCAGGACTCTGGGAAAGTGAGGCAGGAAGACTTCAAATTCCAGCAAAGATTGGGCAACTGTCTTGGTTACTCTTCTCTCATTGTTGAGACAAAATACCTGACACCCAAAATAAAGGAAGGAAAAGTTGAGTTAGCTTACAGTTTTTAGAGGTTTCAGTCCATACTCAGCTGGCTCAAGGCAGGGTAGTGTGGATGAGGGGCAGCTGTTCATGGTGGCTGCAAGCAACAAGAGTGAAAGGGCAAAAGAGAAAAGCATGCCTCCTTCTTGCCTTTACATTTTATGTTGGCTCCCCACCCCTGGGCAGGTGAGCACTCACACTGCCAATCCCAGGACTAGACAATGAAACAACCACAAACAGACTCAGCTGCCTCCATGACTGGATGAGGCTTTGGGGGACACCTAGACACAAACCACAACATTCCACCCCTCGCCTCACAAAGACTCATGCACATTCTTTATGTAAGAGGCATTTAGTCTATCTCCAAGAGTTGCCAAAGTCCTAACAGTTTCAGCATTGCTGAAAAGTCCAAGTCCCAAGTCTCCTCTAAGATCCAAGGCAAACTGTTAGTGCAAGTCCCTGTACAAATGAAAACAAAATTAAACACTTCCATCATACAATGGCACAAGATAAACATTACCATTCCAAAGGGTACAAATGGGATACAAAGGATTAGGACCAAAGAAAGCCCAAAGTCCAGCATGGCAAACAGTAATCCCTGGAGCTCAGCATCTAAAACAATCTGTCTGCAAGTTCCAAAAGGCTTGAATAACTCCACCCCCACAGCATTTACAGGGGTTTTAGCACCCACAGCTTCTCTCTAAGGCCAACTCTATTCAATCCTTGCAGCTTTCCTTAGATGATCGATGCTCCTGGCATTTTCAAACTTCTGGGTTCTGCACTGCACCTTTGGCTTCACATTCACAGCTACACATACTGCCCTCCCAAGGGCACACTATCTGACCTCCTAGGTCTTCTGAAGTTGGGGTAGAAGTTGCCTTGACCTCAGAAATCATGCACTCTCCATGTGCCTAAAACTAGCACCATGTGGATGTGGCCAAAGTCTGCTGCCAGCTGGAGCAGTAGCCAAGGTTTCCTCTCTCTTGGCTGTAGGGGTTGAGTGCCTGGATTGCTGAGCACTCTGAACCGGATTGTGAGGAACAGATTCTCTGTGTTGCTGCCATTCTGGAACCTGGTGCAGCTGCTGCCATTTTGGAACATTGTGTGGCCTCCACTGCCATTCTGGAACAGTGCACTCTTCAGTTTTCTCTTCCAAGCAGAATCTTTCACTTTTGCAGTTTTGAGGCTGCAAACTATGGGGACTCACTGCCTCTTCCTGTGATGCTCCCAGGTCATCTTTTTTAATTGTTCTGTTTCTTTTCAGCAATCAAGATCTCAACTCTCTCTTTACAGTTCACAGCTTTCTGGCCAAAGTCACAACATTTTAAATCACCTGCTGGACTCTTTGCTCTTGATTTACAGCATAAGTCTGGCTAAACGCTCCCCAAAATAGCCATGCTATGGCCTCAACATTTGATCACCTTGGAATTTCTTCTACCAGATTAACCACTCCACTGCCTCTAATCTCAGTCTCAGGCAGTCTCTGGACATGAGCAAAATGCAGACAAACTTTCTGTCAAGCCATAACACTTATTATCTGGAGTTCAACAACCAATGCAGTCTTTCTTCCTAGCAGAAATCTGATCCTAGTCTTTCTATCAGCCTTCTGGTATTCTGAGTTCTGATCAGAATCTCCCATACAGAACAGCCTAAGCTGTTCCAGTGCCAATTTTTCAGACAATATCTCTGAACTTTTCCAAACTTGACCGGCGCAGCTCCCCAATGAGACAGGAGATGCTCTTGTGGGTGACAGTTAACTGCTGGTTTATTTACGCGGGCTCTGGTTTATATATTTGGCCGTGACCAATCACAGGCTGCCACGAGGAAGCAGGGTGGGAATGGGATGCAGGCTCTGGCTACTATATCCAGCTGTGGCCAATCAGGAGTTGCCACAGAGTACGGAGTGAGCACAAAGTGCGCTAATTTAAAGAGGGACGTAGCACATTGCGGAAGCTGGCGTGGTCCTTAGTCCCGGGTGGAGTATGGTATGTTGAGCGCCTGCGCCCAACATCTCCCCCTTTCTTTATAACTGACGCAGGGTCTCCAGGGGTCGGTGCCCCTCGTGAGGTGTCACGCTGCAGTCATGACAGTGCCTCACTACTCGTTGGTGCTCTTTTGGAGGGGGCGGGAGTATTGTTTTATGAGCCCAACCCACATGCTCACCAACATGGGGACCAGGGTGTCTCCTGGCCAAGGACAACACCCCCTGCGATGCTTTGCTCCACACCTGCGTCACAGCATGGCGAGCCATGCTGCCAGGCTTTGACCAGATTCCATGATCAGCAATGCTTGTTTGATATTTTGTCCCTATTCCTTTGTCTGCGAATCTGACAGAGCAGAAGTAGGCTGCCGAATGCGGCAAGTGTAGTCATGGTAGCCAGAGCCCCTGTTCCTGCCCATTCCTTTATGAAAGCCAATTGGAGAGTTGGCCCGAGCTGGATCACAGGAAACTCGTCTGAGTCCGCCATAACTGGAACCGGTGGGAACTGGAGTACCTGCATAACAACAGCTGAAAGTGTACTGTTATCCCAACATTGTAACATATAACAGGTTGCGGTGGAGCAATTTAGAAAAGTCATATTTGTGGTGTTTATGGTGGCCAGGGAGAATCCCCATAATATCTCCTGGGAGTATCCATCCAGGGGGTCACAGGCGGTAAACTGGAGGACCCCTTGCCCAGATAGGGGTGCAGAAGGATCCCCGGGGCCTCCGAGCTGGCGCGCTCTTAATCGCGGCGGGCTCGACTTGGGCCCCCTGCAAGATGCGGGTCGGGAGGTAGAGCCGTAGGTCTTATACGGGGCGGCCCTGGGATCCCGTACTCGCTTTCATTGACCCATTTACTCTGAGAAATCCTGCGTTGCAACTCATTTATGGCCTCAGAGTAGGGCCCTCTCGACTGCGTGTGTGTGACTTCCCCTCTTTCGGTGGTGTCTGCATCCGCCATTTTGTATACTTCTTCTTCCTCCCCCTCATTATCTGACGAGTCCTCTGTTTCTGGGTTGGGTGGGGTCGCCTTGCCTGTGGCACTGGACTCGCGAGATTGCTTGTGGGAGGATTCTGCCTGATGGTAATCAAGCACCATGGCGCCAGCCCTTATATGGTCACGACAAGAGGCGTCTGCAAGACAGCTTCTCACTACTGCCCAAAGGGGTCTGACTCCTGGCTCCAAGAGGCCATTTTCTGCTGCAAAGTCAAGATCTCTCCCTAATTTATCCCAGCTGGGGATGGTAACAGGCCCCGTGGGACCAAACCAAGGTGCTACCTTATCAACCTGATTGAGGAAGTTTTGAATTTGTTCTTGTTTCATTTGTAATCCCTTTTCTCTCAGTAAGTCGCTTAAGGCGACTGACAGTGGCTGAGTAGCCGTGTTACCCATGTTAACCGGAATTTCAAGAGTTTCTTTTTATTTATTTTTTTTTTTTCCTTTTCCCTTTTTTTTTTTTTTTAACAGGGACAGCTTAGTCCCCGCGCCCCTTTACGGCGCCCCCAAAACCTGCCTCTTTACGGCACCGGGAACTCTCTTTATGAGTTCCTCGACCCTTGCGACGCGTCCGCCCAAGGTTGCCCGATAGCCCCCGCCATCCGGCCCTGTTGCGTAGCACCCGCTACCAACATTGAGCAGTTTAACCTGTCAGCCCCCGCCCGCCGCATAGGCCCCACTATCGGCGCTTGACGGTTTTACCTGTTAACGTCTCTGTTCCGTCAGAGAGAGAGGTTCATTCCCCATACTGTCGGAGAGAGGGTCTCAGCACTCCCTGTACTGTCGGAGAGAGGGTCTCAGCGCTCGTCTCAGCGCTCCCCGTACGGGCCACCAGTTGACCGGCGCAGCTCCCCAATGAGACAGGAGATGCTCTTGTGGGCGACAGTTAACTGCTGGTTTATTTATGCGGGCTCTGGTTTATATATTTGGCCGTGACCAATCACAGGCTGCCACGAGGAAGCAGGGCGGGAATGGGATGCAGGCTCTGGCTACTATATCCAGCTGTGGCCAATCAGGAGTTGCCACAGAGGTACAGAGTGAGCACGAAGTGCGCACGGGTTGGCTAATTTAAAGAGGAACGTAGCGCATTGCGGAAGCTGGCGTGGTCCTTAGTCCCGGGTGGGGTATGGTATGTTGAGCGCCTGCGCCCAAAACAAACTCTTCCCACAAGCTGTTTCCAAAGGCTCTTGAACCACATGGTCAGGAATAGTCACAGCAATGACCCCACTCCACTGGTACCAAATTCTTTCTTGATTCCTTTTCTCTTATTGTTGAGACAAAGTACCTGACACCCAAAATGAAGGAAGGAAAGGTTTATTTAGCTTACAGTTCTTAGAGATTTCAGTCCATATTCAGCTGGCTCTAGGGTAGGGTAGGATGGCTGAGGGGCAGCTATTCATGGTGGCTGCAAGCAACAAAAGTGAAATGGCAAAAGGGAAAAGTGTGCCTCCTTCCCTCACTTATACTGTATGCTGGGTCACCACCCCTGGGCAGGCGCGGCACTCACACCACCAATTCCAGAACTAGACAACAAATCAATCACAAACACTACGCTCAGCTCCCTCATGAGTGCATGAGGCTTTGGGAGGTCACCTAGACACAAACTATAATAGCAATTTACCAATTTAACAACATCCTTTCTCAAAAAAATGCTGAGTGTATATCTTATTGTGAATGCCCTCGTTCAATATCCAGTATATGAAAATAAATAAATAAATAAATAAATAGTGTGATAGCAATGACACAAAAGACAGGAGAGAAAAAAGGAAATATATTAATTTTATGACACATATATAAAATGGCATAGTATCACTTAAAGGTAGACAATAAAAGTTAAAGATATATATTCCAAAATCTCAAATATCACTAAAAGAATAAAAAAGTATCATAGCTAACAAAAGAGATAAAATGGAACTGATATAGATTAGGGCACGGCAAGGCTGAATGGGGATGTAGCCATGACCTGTTAACTAAAAAGATTTTGGAACACGTGCACAGAACATTACCCAGAGCTCTGCAAATAGACTTCTCAAGAAAACACAATAAGGCTTTAAGCAGGATGTGTTAGACCTGACATCAGCCTGCGGCATGAGATCCATTTGTAGACATTCTTATAGGTTTCCTTGAGATTTGGACAGTATTAAAGGACACAGATGATAAAAAGAGTTTGCTACCTTGACTTTCCGCATGATAACCTGTCCTGGTTTTTCTACGGTTTACTTTTATCTTGCTTTTTCCTCTTTTACTTGGCACAAGCGTCCTCTGCAGCACCAGTTTTTCTCTCACTCTTCGCTTCTACTTTTTCAAATAAACTTTGCTGTTGCCTTTTGCTCATTTTGTTCATTTCTTTGTTCAAGATGAGAGGAACCTGGAACTTAACTCCAGAAGGAGAGGTGAGCAACCTAGAACCTGGTAAGGTTTAATTGGTAAGCCACTTTTAGAAGAAACTAAACATTTTGGTGAGCCACCCAGGAGATTCCAATAACAGAATCATAAAAACTTTAATTATAGCTATGGAAGGAATGGGGGAGAAAAACTCAACTTTCACAATCTTGTCTTTATTGACGAGTGTGGCATTACCTAGAAGGCAAACATGTCTATGATAAATTTTGTTTTCAATATCCATTTTTTATCTTGCTATAATTAATGGATACATATACAGAAATGTAATTTCAAGAAGTAGCTGGCTGCACTGTTCTAAATAATGAGGACTGCACTCTATATAATAATCACAGCACTTGGGAGGCTGAAAAAAGAGGATAACCTTGTTTGAGGCCAGCCTGTACTTCATAGTGAGTCCAAGACCAGTCTGAACTACATAGCAAGACCCTGTCTTAAACAAACAAAACAGGACAAGGCAGATAGTGCCATGTCTCCTCATAGCATTTGTCTCTTTGTTTTTCCAGTCTAATATATGTGCATTCACCAGTGGAGTTGTCCTGGCTAAAACACCTGGCACCAGCTTCTACATGGGCATCAATTGTCATCCCGTCGACTCCCCTAGACCCCAGTACAGCACCCCCTTCCAGCAGGAAGCAGTAAAAAAAGAAATCTCTGCCTCTTTTCTTAATAATAATCATAAGACAGGATATGAAAGAGTTTTGGCCCAGACAGGACACTGTAGCTGGTAAAGCCTCAGGCAGAGCCAAGGAGCTCCATCTCCCCCACCCCAGGAATTTATCTGTGGCCCTATCTTCCCCACCCCTAGGAATTTGTCCCTGGCGCCAAACTAGTGTCAGTGAGATACCTGTGCATCCCTAATGCCCCCTCAGGCTGCACCCCAAACCTAAGCTACATGTATGCCTCCACTCCACGTGTTCCACGGAGTGATCGCGAACCCCAGGGGGGGAGATGCTGTGCCCCAGGGGGTTGGGGTCTCTCCCCGCATTTTCAAAATAAAGGTAATTTATATTTCATACTTCTTATCTTTTCAGCTGCCGCTGGTCCCCCATAGTTCTATCAGTTTCATGTTGATGGTCTGACTACAAAAAAGCACAGAATTTTAAAGATAGATATGACTTCACCAAATACCAGTTCTACACACTCCCACCTACAGAATTAAGGCCCAGAAACTAGAAACAATTTTTCCAAATCAGATGCTGCATTCACAGAACAGAAGCTGGAGCCCAAGTCTCCTGGCTCTATTCAGTTCTATTCAATGTAAAACACCTAATTGGGCCTCTGGGGAACCAGCCAAGGAAAAGGAGTGGTGGAGGTTTTCTGGGAAGAGGTTCTAGAAGTGGGTGACTTCACTGGGTGGGAGTTCAGTACCAGGGAACATCAATTGTTTCTAGGCAGCCAATAATCTGTACCATCTTCACCCCACAGCAGGAGTGCAGTGGGTAAATCGCGCCCAAATGATGCAAAGCTGGATGAAATCTCTGCAACCCATAAGGCCAAGCAAAAAGTATAAACCAGCACAGGAGGAAAGTTTAATATTGGCAAGAATTTTAAAAGGCAGGCAGGACTTCCAAAGGTGGAGATACAGAGTTGAAGCCATGCACATGCAATAGTCATGGCAAAGGCAATTTGCATATCTCAGAATTAGGTCTGAATTCCAGTTCAGCTATTTGAGCAAACTCCCTTCACTTCTCTGTGTTCATTTGCTGAGCTGTAAAATTGAGATAAACCATCTCTCCTCAGACCTGTTGGGAGAATTAGAGGATTAAATGAGATAAAGTAGGAAATGAGCCCTAATATTAATGATGGCTCTTATTATATTGAGCCTCTCATAATGAGGCCTCTTATTATATTCCAGGCACTTGCCCAATTAATCTAACAACCCTGACCAGAAAATATTTTGGCATGATTTTTTTTTTTTTGAGATAGAGTCTTGCTATGTAGTTCAGGCTGGCTATGAACTCACTATGTACCCCTAAATGGCCTTCAACTTGTGCCAATCTTCCTGTCTCAGCCTCCTAAGCACTAGAATTATAGGTGTGCACCACTGAACCCTGCTGGTATGACTTTCTTACGGATTAGGAAGCTGGAGTTTTGAGAGATGAAGGACTTTACCTAAGCTGTTCAGTAAACACTGGTAAGGTATCGACCACATGCTGTGGCAGAGCCCATACAATAAAGTACGTATCAGCTGTACTTGCCCCTGGAAGATATGCACCTTTTTTCGAACTTTGTGACAACAGGTTATGATTCATCTCTTTGGGGGGTCATTTTAACCCAAGGTGGCAGTGGAAAAGACTGCCACTCAACTCAGGGAAGAAGTTCTGAACAATGAGAATTACTCACCAAACCGCTAATAGAATGTTTCTCAGACACAAGTAATGTATGAGCTGTTGAAAATGCTTATAGACCCACCCCAAAGTTAAATCATTTTTATTTTAATACCACTTCCATATTTATAAGTGTGTAATTCAATATAAGTTCCACTGGGAACCACAAATTCACAATGACTAATTTTGCATGCTTCCTTAAGTGATCATACAGATGGAACCAATGACAAATGTGCTAGACACCTTTTACTGGGACCCATCAGATCAACCTTGTAAAGACAGTTTATAACTGCTAAACTACAACATGACATTTGAGGCCTGTTACATTAGTTCTCTGGAGAAGGACCCTGACGCAGTCGCCCCTACACTTCTCAGCTCAAAGCAGCTAGATGAGAACAGTGCCTATTCTCCCCTTATCACAGTTAGAGATACTTCTTCAGAGGGAGAAATATTACGATAGCTAATTTATCTAGAAATATTGTAGGTAGGCAGACAAGGCTGGACCTTGGTAAGGTCAGTGTAGAAGACAACTGTGGCTGGTGGTGTAATTACAAAAACAAAAAGGAAGATAAGATTGATTACCTCCACATGTACAATTAGATCTTGCTATCTTTTCTTTAAATCTAAAAAAAAAAATAAAAACCTGGTGGCAGAAAGTAAATACCCTCAGAACATCATTGGCAAAAGGACAAATCTGACGATCATGTCTAGGGCCCAAGTCCTACAGAATGACATCCAAACAGAAAGCCATATGGCCCAGTGCATTTAATAACATGGGTCCAGTGCATACTTCTGTTAACAGACATAATGGAACACCATTATGGCTGCCTTCGCAGAAGGTGTGACCATGGAGAAAGAAATATCCCAGCCCCATAGTGGAGCCTGTTCCTGTCCAGTCCTCTAGTGAAAGCATTCTCAAGGATGACCCTGGAGAAGAGCCTGACACCACTAGTACTGAGACCCACATAGGATCTCAAAATACATTATGTGTCGACAACTAAAAAAGACCACGCAGGAGGCTCACATCCTGGTGACACGACAGGACCCCCCACAAACTCTTGAAAATGTATTTATTACTATGATGGCTAGCGTATCTTGTATGTTCTTTCAACTGCTGCAATTACACAAACAAAAACAGAAAGGAGGATATGTTGGTAACCACAAATTCACAGTGGCTAATTTTGTACACTTCCCTGAGGGATAAATGGAAGCTTGGGACTATCGGTATCACCCTTTTGAGATTTCTCATTAACTCTTTAGTGTTGGAACACTGTCTCCCACCCACTAAGACCAAGCTAAAACCACTACAATGTTTTTTAAAATGCTCCAGGACAAAATTCTTCTTAGCATGGGGTCATCTCTGTCCTTTTGAGTTAGCCTAGGATTAACTGTTGTCCACTGAGTCTTCCATCAACATTGAATCTTCTGCTATACCCTTCTATCATTGTATACACCCAATAAATAGTGGCTGACTTAGAATGTCTTTCTCTCTCTCTCTGTCCATCCTGAGGCACTGACCTCCCAGCTTCCCTTCATGTATTATTAAATTTGTCCCTGTTTCTTATTTCATCCTTCCCCTGTACCTCTCATACAGTCATTTGGGGGATGTTGGCCAGGTACCAGATAAAATTCCTTCTGTTTATGGCTCTTCTTAAACTCTAAAGCAAGACAAATGCAAAAAAATCAAATTGCTAACCCTACAAATGTAAATAAACATTTCAATTTAATTTGGTAGAAGTCATTGTTTTGCTGAGAGTGAATTGTTGTTTGCAACCTGCGTATGGTACATATTGCTCTGCACAAGTTCTTTTGAGGCTTGGTATGCCCCTAGCTCTGTGTACTACAGGCAGCTCCCACTGCATATCACCGAAATGAAGTAGACTGTTTAAAAGTTTCCATAAACAAGTGCCAAGCACATAAAAATATATTAACCTGGTGAAGGGTCTACAGACTTGGATTGGAGAAACTCGGGCCTAATTATTTCCAAAACCCTGGGCCATCATCACCTGAAAAGCTGTACAGCAGGACCTTGGTGTCCTGGAATGAAAGACTGTCACCCAGCAACATCTGTGCATCTGCTGTTTCCCCCTATATCTAATGTGGTCACCTACTGAATATATTCTTCATCTGGAAGCATTTTTCCAGCCTCTGCAAGACAAGCAGGTCATACCCACTTTGTGTCCTCCAACTCAGTCCCCAAGTCATAGATCTCAGTAGCATAATCATTCATTCAACCTCTTGCCTCTGTCCTCTGGACTGAGCTCCAAGAAAACAGGAATTGAATCTCATCATTTCTGGTCCTCACTTCCCTACTTCCCTACACAGGGCTAGGCTTGCGTAGTATTGTATCTGGGGTGAGCAGCTAGTCGGCATAAAAAAGTCAGCACCCATAAGGAATTCGAGGGGCACAGTTTTAAGAAAGGAAGATGCTTTGTTTATAAGTAGGACAAAGAAGACAGAGACAAGTTGCCCTGGAGAGAGGTGGGGGGGGGGGTCTGAATGGATAGGGTCTTTGTCCCTAGCTTGTCTTATCAGGTTTTAGGGACCCCCTCCTCCTAGGTAGGTACCTGGAACTTGTCACAATTTGATTGGCTGTCTGGGTTGTCTTAGATGAGTTCCAGGCCACAATTGAATGGGGGGAGTATCTTAGTTTTCCTGCTGCCTGCCTTCCTTATGCTCTGCCCTCTGGTCTTTGATGTGAGTTCTTATGCCATTTGTGCTATCTGGTGTCTTTCTGTCTCTGGTTTTTGTCTCTACCTTTGTCCTTTTAATTGCTTTCAGAGACATTCCTTTAGTAAAGTTTTAACTCCTTCTAGTCAGGATTAGCTTGAAAACCTACTGAGCCCTTATTCTATTTTTCTTTGCCCGCAGACCCCTTACTAAATAAACAAGAGAGTGAATGAATTGAATGAATGAATGAATGAGTGAGTGAATGAGTGAGCAACTTGACCCCTCAGATTTTCTTTCAGTTTTAGGATACTCAGTTCCATCAGCCTGCTCAGCATTTTCTTTCCTCTTCCTAGCTCTTATTTTTGTCCCTGCAAGGATTTAGAGAGAACATTTATCCCTAGAGATGGAAGCACCCTTGGTATTTTGGTACTTGTCCCTTATTTTACACATGAAACAGCTAAAAGGCAGAGGGAAAGTGACTTGCTCCAGGATACCCAGCTCAGACATAAGTGTGCTAGATCAGGGGCCTTGGGCCCTGATAACCACTTTAGAGTTTCTTCCAGGATATTGTCTAGGTATTATTTACTCTCTGACAGTTTTAGTCAGGGTGGTCACGAGGGAAAGCAATGTTCCGTGTGACCTCACCTCCTACATGGCAGTGTTTTGAGAACAAACTGGATTCTCACGGTTCTTCCAATGGTGGCAGGATGCCCATGTCGGGTAAGGTATTTTTCATACTGAAAAAGAAACAAAGATAGCGTCAGGACTCATTTGTAATTTCCCCAGAGCTGCTGGACTCTAAAACCTCTTTGTTTTCCTCCTCAGTTTATAATGCTACCCTCATCCTTGGTAAAGCAGAGCAAGAAGGTATAGCTTTTTTAAAAAAATCTGTACTCATTTATTTATGTACGTATTTATTTCCAGATGCATTTATTTTTGCAACAGGCCAATATGAACATCCTGCAGCTCCCACCCGTCTTCCTCTTTATTTTAGACATTTTACTTCTCTCCCATGGCCAAAAACACTAGTGTCATCCTTAACCCCGGACATCCTTCTTCCTTCCAGGCAGGGAGGCAGCCAGCATCCTCATGCCTGGCCTTCCCAGGGGGCCCTGGCTTTGACCTCACAACTGCTAGACGCTCATTCAACATTTAATCACTTCCTTTCTCAACACCCTGCCTGCTGTCCTTCACCCTGTCTCTTGGCCTTGGAACCCAGGTAGAGAGAATCGAGAAGGAAAAAAAGGGGAGGGGGGGTGCAGAACTATGATCAAATATTATTATAGAAACAAATAATAAAAATATAATGCATAATTATTATATTTATGTATTAAAACAAATTTATTACAATTATGCTTTATTTTATCGTTTGAGCCAGTTCCCCTTGCAGTTTTCATCATTCCTTAAAGCAATAGCTGACTTTATAATCAGGTATTAGCTTCACACAGGCTACAACTAGATCTTCATACAAATAAATGTACGAATTGTCTAATATTGCAAAATATTTATGAGTTCCCATACAGACACTGATAGAATTTTAGCACAGCTGAAAAGATAAGAAGTATGAAATATAAATGACTTTTATTTTTAAGAACGTGGGGAGAGACTCCCTGACCCTCTGGGGCTCGCATTCTCTCCGTCGGACACGTGGAGTGGGGGCATACATGTAGCTTAGGTTTGGGGTGGTGCCTAAGGGGCATTAGGATGCACAGGTAGCCCATTGGTGTTCATTTTGCGCCACAGGTAAATTCCTAGGGGCAGGGAAGATAGAGTCCCTTGGTTTCGCCTCCCAGCTACAGTGTCTGGTCTAGGGCAAGATTCTTTCGGACACCAGGCAATTCCTGATTTCTTTCCAGACCATAAATTAAAACACAAAAAGAAGCAAGAAAACAGATTCTGCTGTTCTGGGAAATGGTAACTCATTATGCACTCACACTGTCTGAAAGAAAAGATCTCAGAGCACCAGTTAGTTGATATGTTTTGTCTCTTACCCAAAAGCTCTTGCCACTCATGAACTTCCCCACACTCCAGATCAGTAACCACCAAATGTCAGTCAACACATGGAAATATCTATGTCCATGCTTGAGAGAGTAGTGGTTGAATAGGTGTATACATCTGTCTAAGCTGTTCACATTAGGCACTTACATGTTTTCACTTTATTGTATGTATACCAAGTGTGTTTCACGTACTTGGGGCAAGTTACAGAATGTCTTCCTGGAACCTGAATGGGGTAGGCAGGAGGAATGCTAAGTGGATACAACACACAGTGCCAGTGCTGAGTACCAGCTCCTGAGTGTCAGAATAATTCGTGGGGGAGGGGGGTGCACAGGCCTCTAAGGCACAGGACCTGAGGAAGGATGCTCTCTTGTGTAGGACCATGAATGGTATTGCTTCCTTGATTCTTCCCTTTTTCTGATTTCCCATAACCAACACACAAGCTGATCCTGTGGATCTGACTTTCAATATACAGTTTGAATTTCTCTTCTCCATCTCCACCACCACCACCACCACCACCACCACCCCCAGCCAAGGAAGCCCTCTTCCTCACTTACACTACAACACCTTCTTGATTGGCCTTTCTTCTTCTACTCTTTCCTTCTTCCAGCCAGTTTGCTACAAAGCAATCAGCATGGTCTTAAAATGTAAATAGCATAGCATTGCTCTCTGGCTTAAAATCACTCAGTGGCAATCCCTTTGCTCTGCCCATAAAGACCAGTTACCTTAAAGTGACCTTCAGGGCTTTTCATGACCTAGCCTCTGTGCAACTCTGCCCTCACCTCACCCGGCCTCATCAGTCTTCTCCTTTCTTCAATCCACCACTCTTGGCCTTCACAGAAGCTCTTCTCTCTGCCTGGAATGTTCTCTTGGCTGACAATGGCTTGTCAGTCAGCCACCTCAGAAGAGGTCTGTCTCCCATTAGTTCCCCATTCTATTCTCCATCACAATACCTTATTTAATGATGTACTTGATTGCCAATAGGTTTATGGGCTCCCACCCTAGCACAGGAAGGGACTATTATGATCATTGTACTTCAGCACCTACTTCAGCATCCTGAAGTGAAAACATTTAATATTGTTGGACAAATGGATGTGAAGGAAATAGGGGGAACAAGTTGGAGGGAGGTGGCTGCCATCCATGCTGGGTTTAAAATCTCATGGACCAACTTTCCATGTTGAAAGTAATGAGAAAAAACAGGATTTGGGAGGACTCTTACACAGACTGCAGTGTGAGAACCTTGCTCTAGCGCCTCCTGAAAAGAAGGGTTGGAAGTATAGATCAGGAGTAGACCATGAAGTAAGCATACACAAGGTCCTGGGTTTGATCTTAGCATTGAAAGGGTTTTAGCCCAGAGAGGACACTGTAGCTGGTAAAGCCAAGGAGCTCCCATCTCCCCCACCCTTAGGAATTTACCTATGGTGCCAAACAAAGACCAATGGGCTACCTGTGCATCCTTAATGCCCCCTTAGGTTCCACCCCAAAACAAGGCTACTTATGTGCCTCACTCCAAGTGTTCCATGGAGAGATCACTGACCCCAGGGTGGAGATGCCACACCCCGGGGGGTTGGGGGTGTCTCTCCCCACATTCTCAAAATAAAGGTCATTTATATTTTGTATGTCTTATCTTTTCAGCTACTGCTGGTCCTCCACAGTTCTATCAAGCATCACCACCAAAAAAAAAAAAAAAAAAAAAAAAGAAGAGAAAGAATCATCCAGTCAATTCTGGATTAATTCATGGCAGGAGGAGTGCTAGAGTTCAAGGACAGCCTTAACTACACAGTGAGTCCTAGGCCAGCCTAAATTATATAGCATGACCATCTCAAAAAAAAAAAAATTGTTCATAGTCATTTTTTAGAGCAGTTTGAGATTTACAGAAAAATTAAATAGAAAATACAAGAAGCTCATATTTCCCTTTTTGATTTTGTCCTTGCTTAATCCTCAGTTTCCTTTACAATTGTGGTTTATTTATTTATTTATTTTGTACCAGGAATTGAACTGATGACCTTGCATTTGCCAGACAGGCATTTATGCCACTGAGCTAAATCCCTGGCTGGATTGAACTTCTTTTATGGGTTTTTTTTTTCTTTTACCCTTAACTTTTTTTTTTTTTAAATACTAAGCATCTTATTCTGCTGACACATCTGCTATAATTAATGAACAAACATCAGTATGATTTATCAACAAAAATTTATAGTTTATTTTAGGGCCTGTCCTTGTGTCACATAGTTCTATGGGTTTTGCCCACTGTGTCATGTATATTTATATCACCACTATAAATTTACTGTCCTAAGAATCTTATGTTCTACTTGTGATCCCTTTTCCCCAAGCACTCCCAACTTCTGGCAACCACTGAGTTTTAATAGTAACAAATTAAACAGAACATGCTGGGTGAGGTGGAGACTATTATAAAGTTTGTTCTTTTGTGGTGTTCAACATATTTACAGTGGTGTGCAATCTCTAGAACTTTTCCACCTCCCAAAACAAAAACTATTACTCACTAAACAACTTTCTTTTCTACCCCTTCCCTCCAGCTAGGCCCTGTTAATCTTTATTAAAATATATATATATATACACACATATATTTAATAGAAGTTACTTAAAGAATGAGACAGGGCTAGAAAGAAACTAAGAAAGTGATCTTTGGGTGCCCTACCTTTCAAACAGAGCCATCCTGCTTTGTATAACAGGGGTTTGTGTAAGACTTCAAACCTAATCCTATAACAGAAAGGAGAGTAGACTGGAGGTCAGCAGTCCTGAGTTCCCATTCTCTTTCTTCTCCTGAATGCCTTTTGGACAAGTGCCTTCCCTGTTCTGGGCAGGGATGAGCAAGACTTTGGACAGTTTCTGAGGGTAGGCCAGTCCTGACAGTGTATCGTCAGGGAGCCCTTGCACAGTTGTGACTTGTATCTCCTTAGAAACTGAGGATAAGGCCAATGATACTGGAGATCAGGAAACCAAGGTCCCAGGTTTATCTTATCCCAGACCCAGAGTAGTTGTGTGAGGGGCAGGGCCAGGGCCCAAACAGAGGGGAAGTGGCTCAATCTAGGGACACACATGTGTAGCCAGCAAGAACACCAGGATTCAAATCATGGACAGAAGCATGGATCCCTAGGGAAGGACTGCAGGCAGCAGCTACAAGAACAGGTTATTTTGTCTCTGACTAGGTGAATTAAGATCAGGCAGGATACAAAAATGAATCTGTCCTACAGAGAATAAGAACTATTTTTCAACTAATTCTGCCCAACTTTGCTGGGCAGAATTAGTGGCTCCCTCTGCTATATACTGTACTGCATGCTGTACTATAATTGTCTGTAGACATGTTTGTACCCCAAAATTGGCAGCTTTAAAATCACATTTCTGTGTTTATCCCTGGAATCTACTGTGGGTTAAGGGAAAATGGGGTAAGAGAGTAAATGCTCATTGGATGGATGAAGCAACACATTATCCCTGTATATTAGGGGGAAGGCTGAAGCTAACAGGCACATAGGCATTTAGGGGAACTCTATGCCATTCCGATATGCAACTTCCTAAATTACTGCAGTCTTTCATTTATTCAGAAAACATTTATCACATGGCTACTATGGGCTGAACCATGGGATGTGCGTTACGTGATATTTAAAAATCAGAAATGAGGGTCTTGATTAAGTTAAAGAACTCTGGAGCCTGATCAGTCACATTCAAATCTTTTCCCTGCCACTTTCTAGTAGTCCATGGTTAAGCAATCTACTCAACCTGGGCCTTGGTGTTCTCATCTGTGAAATGACAGTAAGAGCATTTAATTTGTGGATGTTAGATATTAAATGTTCTAATGATTTTAAAGCTTTTAAAATGTCCAGTACATTGTAAGGGCTACCTATTAACTATTAATCTGTTCCCAGATTACAGGAATGCAATGGGAACATGGTAGTGGTGATGGAAGGGGGTGGGGTAGTAGGTAATGAACTCAACTCAAAATAATCAAGGCAGAGTAGTGTCAGCAGAGGTACAGTTTGTTGAGGGAAGCGTGAAGGGAGGCCAGTGAGTAACCAATCTCTTGAGCTAAGCCTTGTAGTTTTGAGTTTAGATTTGATTCATCATGCTATAGACTGAATGCTTATTAGCATGATGTAGGCAAGTATCAGTCTTAAAGTCCTGAAAACTTGGAATTGCTAGGCACCTGTAGGCCACCTTGACCCCATGTTTCCTTCTTATTGAGACTCTTGGTAAAAAGCCTCAGTTCAGGACATACAGAAAATTATTTAACAAAATGTTTGCTCATTCTGCAAATAATTACTAAGAATTTATTAGGTGCCAGGACTTATACTAGATGAGAACCCAGAAATAAAATATTATCTACCCTAAAGAAGCTCCTATTTGCAAACATGAATCCAGACCTTAGACTCACCACATAAAACTCCTGCTTCTTGTCAAGAACAAATCTTAGGCTGGAACACTGAAAGTTTTGGGTTTTGTTTTGTATCAGGAGTTGAATTCAAAATGTTGCATTTGCAAGGCAGGTGCTTGAGCCATTGAGCTATATATAACCCCCGCAATGAAATCATCTTTTATAGGAACAAAGTCGTTTGAGTTATTTTCCCCACCTCAGACATATTTATATCCTTAGTTGCCCTGGGTCAGGACTTCATAAAATCCAACCGGTTTCCCTCAGAGCCCAGGACTATCTAAATGCTACATTTGTTTTGTTTTGTTTTATAATCACAGCACTGCCAATTAATGACTCATAATGAGTTCTGTGATCTCTGAAATCTACATTTTTACATTTGTCCATTCTAGTTTTTTACTCCTCCTGATTTCTTGGCCTTGAGCATCACTCTGACTTTATTCCATTTTTCCTCTCCTCACTTCCTGTCCTACCCACGTCTGGGTCTATTTCCCAACTGCAAGAGAATTAGCTATTATTTCTGTTTTAGCATCTACGCTCCTTCAGCCCCACAAATTACACACTGGTTCTAGCTACATCCTCTGTGCAGGGGCTGTCTTCCTCCAGGGTCGTCGGAGAGGAGCGATTACACCAGCCCTGCTTCCTTATCTCAACTAAAGGCCTCATCATTCACAGCTAGTGGCCACATCATTCAAATTAAACTTGTATCCATTAGGCACAGCACCTGAAGTAACAAGTTTTTGAAGCACCTAGCAAAATATTCAAGAATCATACCCCTTCCTTCAAAAAAAAAAAGAAAAACCACATTTACTTACATGATACCCTAAGTGCCACACAGTACATGGTGTGGTCTGTCTCTCCTTTGAGGATCTAGCTAGTCATTCCCCCAGTTTCTGGGAGTGGGTTGCTGACTTGCACCTGAAATAGTTTCACTCCCTCTGGCACCTACCTTCCACTGGAAAGGAATCCATAACTTTGCCAAAAGTTACTGTGCCTTCCAGGCATTTGTTGTCTGTAAACATTAATCTAGTCACACAAGGATATCAACTTCTGCCCCCAACGTGTTCTCACACGAGTTGGAGTACTATTCATGCTGCTGTAAGAATGTGAGCTTCTGGGGCATATTTTTAACCCACCTACTGGGCAATTGTATTATATACTGTACTATTTTTCCTAAGTCCAGCAATGGGCCTATAGAACATAGCACAAACTAAACTCTGGCTGTTGAATAACTGGGTGATTCTAACTTTGCCCTGGGTCTTGGTGGTACTGTGAATCAAACTCAGGGCCTTACAACCCTTGCAATCGCATCACCTGACAAGAGCTTCTACCAAGATAGGCGTGAACCCGAGTCCCCGCCCCCAGACCCAAGCAGAAGGCGGGACCCGAGGACGCCGCAACCCAGGCGATGCCTAAACCTGCGGTCCGGGTGCTATGGCTGGGGCGGCTGCACTACGCCGAACTGCTGGGGCTGCAGGAGCGCTGGTTGCGACGAATGCAAGCCGAACCTGGCACAGAGGCCCCGCTGGGGGCTGAGGCAGGCGCGCTCCTGCTCTGCGAACCCGCGGGACCCGTGTATACAGCTGGGTTGCGCGGCGGCCTGACGCCCGAGGAAACTGCGCGGCTACGGGCCTTGGGCGCAGAGGTGCATGCCACAGGTCGCGGCGGCCTGGCTACTTTCCATGGCCCAGGCCAACTGCTCTGTCACCCCGTGCTCGACCTGCGGCACCTCGGCCTGCGCCTGCGCACCCACGTAGCGGCGCTGGAGGCGTGCGCAGTGCGCCTGTGTGAGCTCCTAGGCCTGCGGGGAGTGCGGGCGCGGCCCCCGCCCTACACCGGCGTCTGGCTGGGCGAGTGCAAGATCTGCGCAATCGGTGAGCACCACGGGGCGGGGCCCGGGCGGGGCGGACCAATGGAGGCGAGGGTAGAGTAAGCGTGGGCTTTGAGTCAGAGCTAACCGTTGCGTGTGTTTAGTTTGTTCCCCAGCTAACGTCTCGTAGGTGGAGGGGTGGCATATGGGTCCTCGGTAGTTCCCTAGTTACGCCCATCGTTACGGGTGGAAATACTGTAATTGAATTAGAGAGCTACTACCTATGGAAAAATGGTTGTTTTTAAAAAGAAAGAATCGCTATTTAAGGAATCTTTATATAAAGACATCTGGTCCGAAACAGAACCACACAGCCCCCACCCCACCACCAGTTTGGCTTCCTCCTCCATTCTGTGCACAATCCGTGTTGCAGAAAGAAATACTGAAAAGCAGTAATTGCACCTAGAAGATCCTGAAGCCTGAGGATTGAGAGCGGTAGAGGATCTATACTCTAAGACCCTTTGGCTTGCCTTGCAGGAGTTCGCTGTGGAAGGCACATCACATCCCATGGCCTGGCTCTGAACTGCTCTACAGACCTCACGTGGTTTGAGCACATTGTGCCCTGTGGACTGGTTGGGACAGGGGTCACTTCCCTGAGTAAGGAGCTCCAGAGGCGTGTTACTGTGGATGAAGTAATGTCACCTTTCCTTATGGCCTTTGAGGAAACCTACAAATGCACGTTGGTCTCCGAGGACAGCCTCAACTAAAGGCATTCATGTCAGCACAGCTATGATGGTTCTGTACTGGAAAGCACCAGATCTGACTTCAGGCATCAGAACCTCAATTCTAGAGCTAGTGTATCATTTTATGACCATGATACGGAGGGCAAATCATGAGCTCTGAGACATGGTTTCCTTAGGTATGTTGATATTACCCCAATCTACCTCAGAGGTGCTGGATGTGAACTCACTGCAAAAAGCAACACATGCTGTATAAAATAGGATTGGTGTCAGGTTTTCAGCATAGAGAAACACAACTATCATAGATTGTTGTTTTTCAGTTATTTGTTACTTTCTCAATATTGTATCTAATTGAACAATTCTGGTCTGTAGTTTTGGTTTTTTTTTTTAATTTTGTGGAAATCACTCAGGAAGCTGAGGCATGAGAATTGCCATGAATTTGAGGCCAGCCTGCACTACAAAGCGAGATCATCTCAAAAAAAAAATTTTTTTTTTTTTTGTGGGACTCAAATCTTCCAATGGTCCAGGTAAAAGTGACATGTTGTGTTACTTTTTCATTCTCAAGAGACCTATGTAGGTTCTTTTTGCAATAAAGGGAAAAGCCTCTTGAAAGAATAAAATGGGATCCTGTCATCCTGCATGGAAGTCTCCAGATTTGGTAATTTATGTTTTTGGTTAGGGTACCTTGAGCTAAGCCACAGGCTATAGGAGAAACAAAGTGCAAGTAACGAACAGAAGTTTTTCTTACATGTGATCCCTCCGTTTGAAAGACTGTACTAGTTACCTTAAAACAGCAATATTTATTATATTTTTGTGGGTCAGAAAATTGAGAGAAGCTTAGCTAGGTGTCTAGGTGGAGGTCTGTGCCTGAGCTTACATTAAAATTTCAAAGATAATCCACTCAGTTGTTTGGTCGGTTCTGGTTGTTCATGGGGAGGCCTTTGTTCCTCACTGTGTAAACTATTCATAGGGCTACTGGCGTATTCTTGTGACAGGTTACCTGGCCAACCCTGGGCAAGTGATGTTAGAGAGAGGCAAGATTGGAATCACCATGCTTTTTATGACCCAGTCTTGGAAGTTGCATGGATATTTTCTGCAGTCTTCTAACAAATGAGACCAATTTTAGTGTGCAAGGACCATCATAGGAAATGTAAGAGGTAAGATCTTTAGGGCCCCTCCTAGAGACTGGCTCCCACAGCCCATGAAGAGTGGAAGGAGCCTTTACACTGAGGAGTCAAGGGATCCTGTTTCCAGTCTTGGCTCTGTGAAAAGGTCCTTTCCTTTCTGGGCTTCACTCTAACCTTCAAGTGGTACCATGCCCTACAAATATAATGGGAGCTACATTGCTTTATTAAAATGTTTTTAAAAAATAGAGTGATGTTAGTTTACATTTCTCATAATTTATTAAAAATATGAAGCATTACAAGTAATATTTTACAATTTTTCATAGTAAGTCTTCAAAATCTTGTGTGTATTTTGCTTGTATAGTACACCTAAAAAGTGGACTAGCCACTTTTTTTTTTTTTGGAGACAGGGTCACAGTATGTATTCCAGGCTGGGCTTGAACTCACTGTGTACTTCAGGCTGGCCTCCAACTCCTGGCAGTGCTCCTGCTTCAGCGTTCTGAGTGCCAGGATTCCAGGTGTGCACCATCACATCCAGCTGTACTGGCCACATTATGTAAATGTTCATCAATCACATGAGGTAGCCTTAGACTGATTATTGTGTCTAAAGTCCTCTTGAGTTCCCAGGGTTTTATGACCTCCCTGGCTTCTAGGAAGAAAAAAAAGTCCCCACACATCTGAGATCTGACTACTGAGTACAAATAATTTATGTCTTTTGTTCAAGCTGAAACATTAAAGGTAATATTTTTACCTCCTGTTTACAGGGATGAAAACCAAGGTTATGCAGTAACTTAATGCCAAAACCAGGACCAAGTCTCAGGTGTGAACCCTTTGTCATGCCCCTTTCCTGCTGTACACATTGACTTAGAGCTCAGAACAGTGTGCTTTCTGTGTCATAGACAATCAATATTAGTTAATTAATGGTTTGTCCGCCCATTATTTGGCTCATATCCTTAGTTTCCCATCCATGCTACCATTGTCAGGGTGTATGAGTTCAGAAGTGGTTGATAATTACCTTCTAGTATTACTGCCAAGAAGGTAAATAATTATTCCAGGAAAAATGTAATTAGATACTCAGGGTTAAATACATAGTGTTTCTACCCACCTGATACTTGGCCTTCCTCTCTAGCAGCCCTAATAAGTGATCATACAATTTATTCTTGAGTGACTCTAGACACAAAAAAACATTTACTAAAAACCTATTTATGGTGCCAAGTCCTACTATATTAACCCTCTTACATATATTCTTTCTTTGGGCAGCCTGTCTGGTCCTAAATCACAGAAAATCACTGCATGGTGGTGTGATTGTTTACTCAACTTTCCTGAGCCTCAGTTTCATCACATGAAACTAAGATGATTAAGGCATCTGCCTCAGCATGGAAAGAATTAAGTACCTAATGACAGATGAAACACTTGAGTGTAGTGTTGACACAGAATAAATGTCAGTACATATTATCATCATTATTAAATTTTGTTCTCTATAAGCCTTCTTGAAGAAATTATTCCCAGTCCCTTTAATGTCCCCCTGAGATAGTAGGATCCTCATGAATGGAGCTTTAACTGTCTTCCTTCATATTCTGGCATCTAGCACAGGGTCTGTCATACAGCAGACTAGTTATACATACTAATTAAGTGGAACTGAACTATATGAAGTCTTCTCCCATCCTGCCTTGTATACTTGTTGTGTACCAGCCACAGCTCATGTATGTCCCAGTAGTTCCTGTTCCCTTGGTATGAACTGACCACTGAAAAGCATGCATTTCCTCTGTTGGAGTTACAGGGCACAAACTCATGGGCTGCTATGAACCTACAGGAGTGTTCCCTTTGGTCATCAGAAGGTTTGTATGGGTATATGTATATATTTATGTTAAATAGTTGTCAACCTTTAAAAATGGGCTTTTTACCTGACAGTTGATCAGAGCTGAGAAGTAGTATGTGTGTTTTAAGTTGTACTCTCCAGTTAGCTGCACTCCCCTTTTCCCCATTGGCCTACCTGCTGACATCAGTTTTCATGATCCTTGGAAGCATTTGAGTTAATGACCCCTGAGCTACACATTTTCTTTTTTGAAATCCAGTAGGATGCAGACCACTGTATCAAAGTTCCACTTTTATGTCATAGTCATGGGAGGCCTTTACAGAAATACCATGCTGGGCACTCAGAAGGCTGAGGCAGAAGAATTATGAGTTTGAGACCAGCCTAGATTACGTAGTGAGACTTCGAGAGAGAGAGAGAGAGAGACAAACAGACAAAGACAGAAAGAAAGAGAATATGAGAACGGGGGAAATCTAAAAAGCATGTGAGAAAAATGCTCAACATCACTAGTCATCTGGGAAGTGCAAGTCAAAACCATAATGAAGTATCATTCTAGCCAAATGACTGTTATTGAAAAGAGTAAAGATACTTTATTAGTTTTTCCATTGCTGGGACAAAATACCTAGCACCTGTACCTTAAGGAAAGAGGGTTCAGGGGCTGGGGATTTAGCTCAGCGGCATAAGCACCTGCCTTGCAAGCAGGCAGTCGTGAGTTCGATCCCCGGTACCGATAAAAAAAAAAAAAAAAAAAAAGGGCTGGGGATTTAGCTCAGCGGCATAAGTGCCTGCCTTGCAAACAGGCAGTCCTGAGTTTGATCCCTGGTACCGATAAAAATGAAAAAAAGACAAAAAAAAAAAAAAAAAAAGGAAAGAGGGTTCAGTTTTGGCTCACCCTATTGTCAACTGGATCCAAGGTAGAAGAGGCATAGTGCAAGAACCTGAAAGAGGAAGGCTGCTCAACCCATGGCAGTCAGGAATTAGTGAGAAAGGAAGAGCCAGAGAGGAAAAAAAAACCCTCCAAAGGTACACCCCCAGTGATCCACCTCCAGCTGGATCCCACATTCTAACAGTGCATTCAGCCGTGAACTCAACAAAGGATTAATCCTCTGGTGAATTTAGTACCCCCAGAATCGAACCACCTTCCAAGAGCCCCAATCTTGAATACAGACTTTTGGGGGATATTTTGGATCTAAGCCATAACAATGAAAAGGGAGATCTAGCACACTATGAGTGGGAATGTAAATTAATATATTTACAATAGAAAACTGTGTAAGAATGTAAAAAAAAAAAAATAGAATATTGGACTTTTGGGAGAGTGGTGGAGTGGTGAAAAGCAGAGAAAGAGCCTCTCTGGGATTGGTGTCCAGACACTGGAATATAGCAGCATGAGGATGAGGAGAAAGTGGGTTTCCAGGAACCAGCAAGGATCTGAAGAAAGAATTGATCTCCAGAGGGAGAATGACGAGAGACTTCAATGAAGGAGGAGTGGGGGGATGGCACTTTCTTCCTGAGCCCTGACTCATTGCATGGGAAGGGTGGCTTGAACCTGCAGATGCATGGTAACCACTGGTGACCTCTGGAGCAGTGGATACAGTGGACTGTTGTGGCTGATGAGCTATTTGGAGTCAGATGTTCCCCAGGAGAAGGCAGTTGGCCAGTAGTCAACTTGAAGAGGAGACAGCTGAGCTCAGAACTCAGGGCAGCTACAAGCACACTCTATGTTGTGGCTCCAAGTGTCAGGATGAGGTGGGCCTGAGTTCAAACCAGACACAAATTGGGTTGTAGTCTCCCAGGCAGAAAACAGCCTGAACTTCAGTGGAACTAAAAGTGCAGATTTGCTGGGGTTACCCCCACTTACTGGGGTTAATCAGCATGGATCTGGACTCTGCCTACTTTGTCTACCAGTGACAGCAGAGACATGCCTTGAAGTGGACAGTTTTTTCTTATTTTTTCTTATTTTTGCTTTTTATTTTGTTACATTTTATTCTTAATCTTCTTGTTTTTTATGAGTGTGACCATCATCTCCAGTTTGTTGTTGGTGGTCTTTTTTTTCTTATTTAAAGAGAATAAAACAAAACAAAACAGAATAAAGCTAGTCAGAACAGAAAAATGAAAATGATACAGGACTTCAAAACAAGATAATAGGAAATCAACAATGGCTATCATAATGTCTCTTCTTTTCTTCAAAATAGCTGTCCATACCATCGGACACAGTAAAATTAAACAGAACAAGACAGAATAAAACAAAGTTATGAAAACAATACAGGAATTGAAAACAAGACAATAGGAAATTAACAATGGTTACCACCTTCCCTTTTTACGTGTTTCCTCCCTTATTACTTTCATAATATCTGTTGTACATTTTGGATCCCACTAACTCCTTCAGTTTTTTACACTAGAAGACAACATGATGCTCACCCTTAATGAGATAAACCATTTCACTCATGAGCATGATCTTACATCCATTTACCTATAAGCACTTCAAGATTTTCCTTCTTTATAGCTGAGTAGCTTTCAATTGTATGAAAATATCATATTTTTCTTATCCATTCCACAGTTGATAGGCAGGCTACCCCTGCTTTTTTTGGTTTCCGATTGCATGGAGCATTGTTTTCTCTCCTTTGACTTTGTCAATGAATTTCCTTTCAAGTTAAATGTGTTTCTTATGTATAGCATATTGACGGATCTTAATCCACTCTTGTTTCTTTTTATTGTTGAATTGAGGCCATCTACATGAATGTTTAGAACCAAGATGCATTGGCTTGTCTCTGCCATGCTATCCTCCTGCTATTGGCACCCCACTTTTCCCCTTCATTCAATTCCCTGCCTGGGTTGGCAGTCCCCCTCTGCTGCTATTCCTGAAAGTGTGGTCATCTTTATCTCTCTCTAGAATATCCTTTAGCACTCTATAGGGTTGGTTTGGTGGGAATGAATTCCTTCAGTTGTTCTTTACCATGGAAGTATCCTATTTTTCCATCAATTTTGAGAGAGAGTTTTGCAGGGTACATCAATCTGGATTGGAAGTTGCTTTCTTTCAGGATGTTAAACACTTCACCCCAAGCTCTTCTTGCCTTGATGGTTTGTATTGAGAAGTCTTCTGTGATTCTGATGAGTTTTCCTTTATAGTTGATCTGTTTCTTTTCTCTAACAGTCCTTAATATTCTGTTCTTGTGCTGAATTCCTGGCTTCTTGATTATGATATATCTGGGTATAGATGTATTTTAGTTATGGCTAATTGGAGTCCTATGTGCCTCATATATCTATATGCCAAGTTTTTTCCCCATGTTTGGGAATTTTTCTGCTAATTTTATTCTACTTCTGTAAATAGTCTTTTTATATCATTTGTCTGATCCCCACCCACATTTTTGCTGACACCTATCACTCTTAAATTATTTTTCTTTGTGTTGTCTTGCAGCTGTTGAATTGTTATTTCCTGGCTCCTTGTTATTTTTAAGAGATCTTTTCTTTCATGATCACTAGCTGCAATCCTGTCTTCAAGGCCTGAAAGTCTATCTTCAGTCTCCTTCAAATGGTTTTACCAGCTTTTGATGGAGTTTTTAATTTCCTGGATATCTTTTTTGAATCTGTTTCATGCATTATAATTCCTTCCTATATTGTCCAATCAAGGTTTCCATCATTTTCCTATGCTCTTCTTGTTTATTTATGTCTTCTTTAGGTATGCTCAGCAATTCTTTCATTGTGTTTATGATTTTTTCTTTTTCCTGAGATGATATTTTGGGTTTGATTACTTTTATAGCCACATGAAATGTTTCTTTACTTCAGTTGCTATCCTTTCAGAGATTTCAGGTATGTGACTTTCATTTTATTCCATGTCTGTATCTCCCAGATTTGTTCTTTGTTGACTGCAGTTCTGAGATTGCTTTTTGCTTCTTCATCATGACATTTTCCTAGATTCCTCCCAGCATGCCAGTTACGGGATCCCAGGTGCTTCCCATGTTGGCTGCCCCTCCACAGTATAAGGGAATGGGCCAGGCATCTGGATTTCTCCAAACCCAGGTTTCCAGGAAGGTACTGGGGCATGGGGCAAGCTTCTCCAGACCTGTGCAGCTACATTGAGGCTTCCCCAATGGCCATGGGTGTAATGTGTGTGTGGGGGGGGGGGCTGCTGCTTCTCTCAGCCTGTATGGCTACACTGGGACTACCCTAATGGTGGCAGGTGCACAGGGCTGTGTTTATCTGATTCTTTAGCCCATGCTGGCTGCCCACAGGAAACAAGCATCTCTAGTGGTGGCCTATGGGCTACACTGGTCACCTGAGCAAAGCAAGTGTCCCAATAACAGCATATGTGCAGGGGTGAATCTGGGTATTTCTCCATATCCACACTGATTACCTGAGGGAAACAGGTACCCTGATGGTGGCAGATATGCAGGGGCAAGTCTGGCTGTTTCTCCCTGCCTGTGCTGTCTGCCCACAGGAAGCAAGTTTTCCAATGCTTTTTTTTTTTTTTTTTTTTTTTTGGTTTTGAGACAGGGACTCACTATGCAGTTCAGGATGGCCTTCAACTCACTTTGTATCCCAGGCTGGCCTCAAACTCATAGCCATCCTCCTGCCTCAGTCTCCTCATGTACTAGGATTATAGGTATGTGCCACCATGTGTGGCTTGTTTCTAGATTTTTGTTCTTGTTTCTTTTTTTCCTTCTCTTCTTCCCTCCAGTCTTTTTCTTCACCAGTTTCCCAAAGTTTGCATAATCTTTCTTTATCCTCCAGACTTGCTTCGAATCTCTTCCTTTTCTTATATTTCTCAAATTTCCCCACAAACCCTTTTAAATTTTCTCCCCTGAAAGTAAATTCCATGCCATGATGGGATATTTACTGTAAACAATTTTTAGTTTGTTTTAGATTTTATATATATAACACAAATCTACTTCACACAGTAACAGGCAGAAAATTAATAGTTACCACAGTTTCTATGTTGTGTTTACTGCTGCTGTTATTGCTGATTGTACTGTTTTAGCCAAGCTGACATAATTGTTCTAATCAATTGTTCTTCCTGGTATCCTAAGACTGAGATTGCCTGAGTCATAAAAGTACTATTGACCAGTGCCAAACAATCAGGGCCTAAGCCAACTAGGCAGTGACTTCTCATACCCAATAAATTGAAGAGGTAGGATCTTGCAACAGACTCAAAACTTAGTTACACCTGGATGACATCTTGGAGAAGTAATCATTTCCTAAGGGTTATACATAATAGTAATTAAGGTACTTTCCATAATTAGTTTATAAGCATCATCCCAGGAATTAAACTAAAAAAAAGAAAATGAGAAGATACTTAAGCAAGGTGCAGCCCCACACTTCTAGCTCACCAAAGGCTCACCCATGAGGAATGAAGTGGAGCAATTCAAAAGCCACCAACTTGGACTCTGAAGTGATAACAGCAGAAGCAACAAAGTGGATGAGTCTCCAGAAAAAATCAAATCTGATTTTTTTTTGGTACTCACTACTCATGCTTGCCAGCAGGTACTTATGCCACTGAGCTAAATCCCCAGCCCCAAGAATAGAGGTACTTAGAAAAATGATGGAAATCATGAACGCCCTGGAAAGAAATGGAATCGATGAAACATATTCAAACATACTCAAATTTCATTGAAAGTATATGCAGCAGAATGAGTCAATGTGAGGACAGAATCTCAGATAGAGAAGACAAGTTGTAGTTAGCAATCATGAAAAGAAAGATTTCTTTAAAATAGTATAGGACCATGAAAAATCAATCCCACAGCTGCTAGATAATGCAAAGGAGAAAAACATAAACTTGACAGAGTCAATGAGCATGTGAAAACACAAATGATATAAAAAACCTGTTCATAGAAGTAGTGGCAGAAAATTTCCCAAGTAGAGAGAAAGAATTTAGCATACAGATAAGTGAGGCATGTAGAACTCCCATTAGCCATGATCAAAATAAGTCTACTGCAAGGTATATACTAGTCAAGGTTCCAGAAATCCAACACAAGAATAGCATATTAAAAGCTGTTGGAGAAAAGAAACAAGTCACCTATAAAGTCCATCAGAATCACAGCCCATCAGAAACACAGCAGACTTTTCAATATAACTCTCAAGTCAAGGAGAGCTTAGAGTGAAATATTTTAAGCACTAAAAGAAAACCACCTCCAACCCAGATTCGTATACTCTGCAAAACTGTCTTTCAAAATTGATGGAGAAATAAGATACTTCCATGACAAAGAACACCTGAAGAAATTCATGACCACCAAACCAGCATTCCAAATTGTTCTGAAAGACATTCTAGAAAAAGATAACAAGTACTCCAGTTCCATGAGCCACGAGGCAAGGCAAGCAATTAACAAGGGAAAAAGGGAAACCAACAGCAAGAAAATAGCATGATAAGGGTAAGTCAATACAAATGCATACCAGTTATAGCCATCAATGTTAATGGCCTCAATTCACCAATGAAAAGAAACAGACTAACACAATGAATTAAGAAACAAGGTCACCAAATGCTGCACACAAGAAAACATTTAATTCAAAAAGAAATTCATAGACTGAAAGTTAGATAATGGAAAATAATACTCCATGCAACAGGAACCCAGGAAAAAGTGAGGGTAACTATTATATTTACAGACAAAATGGTTTTCAAGCCAAGACTGATTAGGAGAGACAAAGACAATCTCTACATCCAAATAAAATGAACAGTCCAAGAGATAACAATCATCAATATACATGCAACAAATACCAGCACATCCAACTATATAAAACAAGTATTAACAGTCATAAAAAAATCAAATAAGGACTAACACAATTATAATGGAGGATTTCAATACCCCACTATCACAAATAGATCAACTAGACAAAAATCAACAAAATATCAGAACTGAACCAAACTTTTGAACAAATGAACTTAGTAGATATTTCCATAGTATTCCATCACACATCATAATTACACATTCTTCTCAGCTGTATACAGAATGTTCTTTAAAATAGGCCACATACTAGCTTATACAACATACTTCAGTAAATGCAAAACAGTTGAAATTATACTATGCATATTATCACACCATAGTGCAATGAAATTGGAAATCAATGGCAAAAGAAAACAAAAATTTCATAAACACATGGAAATTAAATGAAACCCTCTTGAACAACCAGTGGGTCACAGGTGAAATTAAGGAATTTAGATAGCTTCTACAATTAAACAATAATGCTGTTGCAACATATTAGAATTCATGGAAAATATTCCTATGAGAGAAATTTATAGTGGTGAAATCCCATATCAGAAAAACACAGTGACTCAAAGAAAACAATACAAAGAATCAATGGTTCTTTGAAAGATTAAATAAAATTGAGAAATCCTTCAGCCAACCTTATCAAAAAAGGAAACAAAAGACTCAAATCCATGCAATTAGGAAGGAAAAGGTGAAATCACAACAGGTCCTATAGAAATGCAGAAGATCATCAGTACCTGACTTGAGAACCTGTGTTCTAATAGACGGAAAACAGAACAAATGGACAGATTCCTAGATATATATCAATTACCAAAGCTGATTGAAGAAGATACAAAAATTTTGAACAAACCAGTATCAGTCAGTGAAACTAAAGACATAATTAAAAACCTATCAGCAAAGAAAAGTGCAGGCTCTGACAGACTCACTGCTGAATTCTGCAAGAAACTTAGAAAATACCTAATGCTGCTACTTCTTAATGAAATTGAAAGGGAAGCAATACTACTATTTCATTCCTGGAAACAAATATTACCCTGATACTAAAATCAGAGAAGAATCCAACCAAAAAAGAGAAGTACTGGACAATTTCCCTCATGAACAAAGATGCAAAAATCCTGAATAAGATACTGGCAAAGAGAATGCAGCAAATCATCAAGAAGATCACACACCATGACCAAGTAGGATTCATCCTAGGGATTCAGAGATGATCCAACATAGGCAAATCAATAAATGTAATGCATCAAATTAAAAGTGACAAGGACAAAACCATATGTCATCTCAATAGATACAAAAGGCATTTAATGGATCCAATTCCCATTCATGATAAAAAAATACTACAGAAAATTGGAATAGGTGGTCTTTATCTCAATCTAATAAAAGACATCTATGACAGAACAACAGCCAACATCATACTAAATGGACAAAAACTGAAAGCTTTCACTCTAAAATCAGGAATAAGACGAGGATATCAAATATCACCACTCCTATTTGATATAGTTCTAGAAACATTAGGCAGAGCAATTAGACGAGAAAGAAAAGGAATAAGGATAGGAAAGGAAGAAGCTAAATTATTATTTGTGGATGATAAGATACTCTACATATAAGATCCCCAAACTCAACCTAAAGACTTCTAGATTTAATAACCAAATTCAGTACCATAGCTGGATACAAAGTCCAACACTCAAAAATCTATAGTATACCTATACACAAAAGCAACTCACTGAGAGAGAAATCACAGAAACAACACCTTTCACAATAGCATTCCAAAAAATGAAATACCGAGGAATCAACCTAATGAAGGAAGTAAATGAATTTTACACTGAGTACTTTATAGTACTCTGGAAAAGGATATCAGAAATTGGAACAATATCCCTAGATTACAGATAGGAAGAACCAATCTAGTGAAAATAACTATACTTCCAAATTTGATACACAGATTAAGTGCAATCCTGATCAAAATACCAATAGCATATGTCATAGAATTAGACAAAACAATCCTAAAATTCATCTGGAACCAGAAGAGACCTAGAATAGCAAAAGTAGTCCTGGGCAACAAAGGCAAGGCAGGAGGTATCACAATCCCTGACATGAAATTATTCTACCAAGCTACTGTGATAAAAACAACATGGGACTGGTAAAAAAAATGAAATAAAAAATGAGACACAAGGGTCAGTGGAACATATTAGAAGATGCAGAAACAACTCCAGATATACTCAGCCATAACACTTTGACAAAGGAACCAAATACCTTCCCTGGAGAAATATAGACTCTGTAGGGCCGGAGAGTTAGCTCTGCAGCACAGTGCCTACCTGGTATGCATGAAGTCCTGAGTTTGGTTCCCAGTACAAAAGAAAAAAAATACAGCCTCTTTAATAAATGGTGCTGAGAAAACTAGCTTTCCACACATTGAAGAGTAAAACTAACCCATATCTTTTACCATGCACTAAACTAAAATTGAAATGGATCAAAATCTAAATGTTAAAAACAGAACAACTAAATCTGCTGGCAGATAGATTAGGTAAAACTCTTGAAGACATTGGTGTGGTCAAAGACTTTATATAAAAAACCCCACTTGGACAGGAAATATCAAAAAGAATCAGTCAAGATGTGATTGCATCTTATTAAAAAGGTTTTGCACATCAGAAGAAACTAACAGCAAAGTAAAGAGACAACCCAGAATGTAGGAAAAATGTTTTCCAGCTGTTCCTTAGACAAACCTACTATCTAAAATGCGTAAGAACTCAAAAAAACAGAATCCCACAAATTTAAAGACCCAATAAAAAATGAGCATCTGAGGTGAATATACACTTCGCAGATAAAGATGTAGAAATGATAAACATATGAAAAAATATTCAACATCACTGGTCATTTGAGAGATACAAATTAAAACAATGCTGAGATTCCATCTCACTCCAGAAAGAATGGCTAATATTAAGAAATCAACCAATAACGAATGCTGGCAAGGCTGTGGGAAAAATGGAACCCTTCTCCACTGTTTGTAGGAATGTAGACTGATGCAACCACTGTGGAAATCAACATGGAGATTCCTCAAAAACCTAAAACTGGAGGTTCCATTTGACCAAGCTAGTCCCCTTGATGGTATCTTCCCAGAAGAATTAAATACATAATACCATAGCAATATATGCACATTCATGTTTACATTGGCACAGTTTGTAATAGCTAAATCTTGAAAACAACTCAAATAAGCATCAACTGATGACTGGATAAAGAAGATGTGGTGTTTTTAAAAACTACAATGGAGTTTATCCATAAAGAAGGATAAGCTTGAAACATTTCTAGCTGAATAGCTGCACCTTGAGACCATACTCTTAAGTGAAATAAATTTGGCACATGTGTAAATATATCGGGAACCTGGCCAAGAGTCCTGATTGTCAGTCTCAAGAATGTCGCTAGAAAAATAAAAAACAGAGACAAGTATCATATTCCAATAATGGCTGGGAAGTCAATGTCTCTGGGTCCAACTTCCTCCACTCCCAAAACAGCCACTATCCTTTTGGTTTATACAGTGATAGGTGGGGCTAGCAAAGGATTACAGTTCATCCAAAAACTCCAACTCCAGAGGGCATAGATAATCTTATGTCTGAAGTATCTTGACTGAGTATAATGTTGTGATGATTTAAGAAGGTATAGATGATCTTATGCTTAGAAGTAACTTGCCCTTGAGTGTAATCCTCAAATGATTTAAGAAGGCATAGATGATCTTATGCTTGAAGAGTCAATGGGAAATCTCAGATGGGTGGTACCAATAATCCCAATTCTTCCTTTTACCTCACAGGGAAATACGCAAAACGAGTCACTGTGAATTTGTGGTCCCCAACATAAACACTTCATTGTTTCTTTGGTGTGAGAAACCGAAAGTGTAAATCAGGACCAAAATGTATAATAGATACTGGGAAATGGAAAGAAAGTGTTCAAATGAGAAGGTGAACAAAAGAGGGGGAGAAGGGGAAAAAAAGAAAAAAAAGGAAAAAATGGAAACAAAGCTTTTGTAAATAAGAAGGGAAGTGGGTTGAAGAGAGGGGAGAGAGATGAGAAAAAAATCAAGAAACAAGATACATGATGTACACATACAAATTCCCTATGGTGAATGTTATCATTATGTAGATCTAAAATGTACCAATAAAATTTTTTAAAAGAAAAAAAAGGCCTCCAATATTTTATCCTAAGAAAAGTTAAAAATAGATGCATCATATGATACAGTAATGACACTACTGAGGTATATCCAGTGTAATGAAATCAACATGTCAAAGAGAAATTTTCACTCCCATGTTCTTTGTGGCACTATTCAGAATAGTCAAAAAATGTAAACCACCTAAATGTCCATCAACTGATGCATGGATAAAGAAAAAATATATATAGTGGAATTTACTGTTTACTCCTATAAAAAAAAAAGTCTATCATCTGCAACAACATGGATACAGCTGGAGGACATTATTTAAGTGAAATAAGGAGCTGGTCATGGTGCATGCCTAGCACTTAGGAGGCTGAAGCAGGAGGATTAACATGAGTTTGAGGCCAGTCTGTTCTGCATGCTGAGTTCAAAGCCAGACTCCATCTCAAAAAACAAACAAAGTGAAATGAAGTAAGGCAGAAAAACAAATACTGTATGAACTCATTTATATGTGTAATCTTAAAAAGTTGGTCTCATAGAAGTTGAGACTAGAATAATGGCTGCCAGAGGCTGTGAAGGGAAGGGGGAGAGACGGGTGAGGAGAGGTGGGTCAGCAGATACAATCCTTTTGTTTGTTCTTTTTGTTTAATTTGTCTGTTTGAGACAGGGTCTATGTAGGCTGACCTTGAACTCACCATGTAACCCAGGCCTGCCTCAAAGGTGCAGCAATCCTCTGCCTCAGCCTCCCAAATGCTGAGATTACAGGCATGCATCACCACAGCCAAAAATAGACACTATTTTATTGTTAGGTAAGAGGAATAATTTCTGGTGTTCTATTATTGCACAGTATGGTGAGTTTAGTTAATAATGTAGCATATATTCCAAAACAGCTGGGAGAAAGGATTTCAGATGTTTTCATCACAAAGAAATGATGCTTACATAGTACCATATAAAAATGTACATTGTTATGTGTCAATAAAAAATAAAATAAAGCTTAGTATAAAAAACAAATAGGAACAAGTAGGGGCCATGACATACTCATTCCTGTGTCCCTTGTCCCTAGCTAAGGATCTGGCACCAAACAGACGGCAGGAAATGTGTAACAGTTATTCATGTTCAAATATTTATGGCTCTCTGGTTCCTGAACAGAGGGCTGGATTGTCCTTCGTGGCCACCTCATGGTTGGTAGAGGCCCAGTAACTTGTTCTGGTTAATGAGTTACAAATGGAGGTATTGTGTTCTTTCTGAGCGGCAGCATTGCATAGCTGGTTCCTTTAGTTTTTCTTGTCCTCTGGAACACTAACCAGTGGCATTAAAGACAGGGGCTGCTTCCTGAGGGACTCCAATGAGAAGAGCCTCCTGTTGCTATGGGTGTTAACCCACCTCAAGTGAAGGTTGTGAATTAACGCAGAATAACCAAGCCTACCCTGACTAATACATTTATATTAATTAGGACTCTTGCATTTGCAGATATAGGAACCCAACTCCAACAGTAAGACAAAAAAGATATGGGTTGCTCCCTGTAAGCGGAGGCAGGGTGGCAGCCTGCAGCCCTTCCAGGGGGAGAACTAGCAGTGTCTCCTGAGATCCACGCCATGTTGGAACTTAGGACTCTGGGAAGCCAAGCCAATACCTCCGAAAAAAAAAAATCCATGTAAATTATAAGTAAGTTGCAGTACACCAAAATGTAATCCACTATTCTGTGCAATTTATATGAACTTATAAAATTATTTTCAGATTCTATAAAATAAAAAAAAACTAATATGATTTATAGTATCAATTTGGAATTATAGGCAACTACACTGAAGAAGACAAGACCCTACGATATACATTCTGGTTTGATAACTGCCAGGTTTTGAAGTTCTATGCTATATACAAAGTTGTGTTTTTATTAATACTATTATATACTGATATATTCAGTTATACTATGTCTGATGATATAGCCAGTTCTATTGAAGATAACAAGAGACAACACAGGAACTATGGTAGAAGTCCTTGCACAATGGTCTTATATGTCTTTTTTGTTTCATGTGTTTATAGGAATATGTTCTGTTCTGTCTTGCTTTGTTTCGTTTCTACCTCTAATATAGAAAGAACAGAAATACATGTTAAGACTCATGCATGTGTAGAATCTATAAACTGTTTATGAGAGCTGATCTTATGACACATGATGAAATGAACAGATACTTTGAGGAAAAAGAGTCACTAAAGAACCCAGTGCTGATTCTGGTGTGTCATAATGTGAAACCCAGCAATAGTATTATTCTCTGTTCAGAGTGATATTAGCCTGCTTGGGTTTTTTTCTATCTCAACACAATTGAAGATATGGATAACTGCATGTATGACCATATTTCTAAGTTTTTATTGGACAGTTGAACAGAACTGTTTGCAGTCTCGCTGTTTGAATTCTCACTTTACATGTTCCATTTTTGTATCTTGAATAACTATTTGTAAAATGACAATATGTAAACATCAACCAGTGATTTCTTACTGTTTATTTTTTCTCTGAATGCATGTATTATTTCTACCTATTTTCTGTTTTGTTTAGTTTTTCTTTAAATAAAATTTTAAAAAAAAGACATGGGTTGGGGTTAATGGAAAAGGTTCCAGGGTCTCATAGAGCAAGAGGGCACTAGCCTGGCTCAAGAACAAAACCAGAGCACAAAGCACATTACAAAACCAAAAGAGCCATTTCTTTCCTATTTTCTGCCATATTTCCCAGTGTGAGTTTGCTTCATTCCATCTTGCTTCAAACCAGCCTTCCGCCAGGCCACAAGGTGGAGATGGCTGCTACTACCCCTCCTACTCCAGTTGCCATCCAGAATCAGGGTGGACTCAAGGAAAACCCCAAGCTTTGGCTTGAGAAGTATGTGGAGGAATACTGGAAGCACTGTTGGAATGGAGAGCAGTGGATGAGGTTTTGTTTGTCTGCTTATTGAGACAAGGTCTCGCTATGTAATTCAGGCTGGTCTTGAACTCACTACGTAGCCCAGGCTGGCCTTGAACCTGCAGTGATCCTCCTGCATCAGCCTCTTGAGCACTGGGGTTGCAGGTGTGCATCCCTAAGCCTGGCTGATAAAATTTGAGAATCAATGGGAGATTGATTGGAGGTGGAGAAAGACAAGAGGCAGTTGGGTGTATGGATCTGGAGCATGGAGGTGATGAGTGATGGTTTAGATCCAAGTGTCACAGAGAGAGCAAGAGAGAAATAGAGGGAAAAATGTGAGGCACGGAATGAGGACGTGCAGATCAATGAGACTGAGAAGGAAAGGGCACAGAAACAGGTAAAATGACTCATTCAGTCATTCAGCAGGGTGGGTAAGTTATCTGATAGGCAACAAAACCAAGGTCACAGAACCTTTGTATGAGGTCATGCAATTGATAGGCACAGAATCAGTGCTAGGCACCCAGTCTGGGCTCTGAAGGGTGAGTAAGCCTGCATCCTACAGAGA